GCAATTGATCACTCTTAAAATATTCGTCCACTCGATCACGGGATCTTTGATCCACGTCATTAGCTTTTCGCTCATTCTGTAAATTGTCTATGTCTGTTATTATGCTACTCTGATTGCGTTTCCCTCTAAGAACGATCACACCATCATCACCACACACACAGACTACTAGCTGACCTCCTTCACGCCTTCTCCCTCACTTTCCTCATAGTTTTATGGCACTACTAACGATCCCTCTCTTTACTACAACCATCCTATCCTTCCTACTAGTGCTTCTTAAACATTCTACTTTCTTTCACCACATTCTTTTTTCTCTGTCACATGATCACGTTTTTGTAGAAGGCGAAGAGATTCAAATGTCTTTGCAAAGGTCCCTAGATGAGGGAGAAAGCTGTATAAAGTTTCTTCATTTTGTCTTGCACCCGCATAAAGGAATGGGTACAATTGTGAGCAGACAGACTAAGGAAAAAGATGGTCCAACAGAGTTCTTGACGCTTTCTGGTTGCTTGGTAAAATTGCAGAACTCATCGTTACGAGGGGTCAGACGCCCGTTTTGGACTAAACGATCATCCAGATAGTAACTACGATGGGTGAAAAGCCCATCAAGGCACATTCCGGTAGGCGTTAAAGTTGTCTAGCATAGTTTTAATCATCAATGTCAATTTTTTTGCTAGCACTAGAAAATATCTGCGACAAGAATCAATGACAGCCTATGCCATTGTTTCGCAGCATTGTGAGAATCTTTGAGAATAGCACAAAGGATAAGGGGGATTCCTTGTCATTATGAATATACGTACATAATTAATCATGCGGTCTTTATCCTCTGAGAAGGAAAGAAGCCAAGTTGGCACTGGGGCTACTAGCATCCCGCAGAGCTTTAGAACGGGATTACTGTGTACCCTCTGTTCGCGTCATAGGGACTCACACGCTTCTAGCGAACAAGATTTGACTTATGTTTTAATCTCTCTCCCAGAAAGTACATTCAGAGAAACAAGTGTGTCTAACTCATTTCCTATGAGACAATGCAATGACGTTACATTGTAAATGTGTAGCGCACGATGTCTCCCCTGAAGTAAGAGCTGACCATAGTAATGTCACCATAAACTTCAGATAGCTGTAGGTTTCAGCTCTCAGACAAGGCATTAATTTACCACCGGCTTGCTAACTTCAAAAATCTGAAACAAATGCAAGAAACTTCTATCTTTCTATTCACCTGCTACTGGCTTTTAAGGCTGTACAATAAAAACTTCATTATTTGATGGCAAAAAAGTAAGTTTAATAGGGTTACTGTAATACTTCGTACACGCGACTACCTGTACAAGTGAAGGCCATTTTGATGGTAATCTTGCTTTTGATGGGTGGGAAAGACCTTCAGACCAAGCTAAATGGCCACGTCTTCTCTCCTAATGCAAGTAATCAGGAAGATCTAATGCCTTGTACTGCTAAATGCGAAAGCTACTACCACTCGTATAAATGGCTGTACTATACACTAGTGTTTAAGTTGACCTCGATAGGAGAGAGGCGGAAACCGAATTGGAACGCGAATCCCATGCATGAGAACCGTGAAGAATCCCTCCCCGGCTGATATCGACTATTCGGCTCATCTGTACTCCTATCCCCATTCTTCCTGTATTCAACGCCTAATAAATTGACTACAACTAACCCTCTCTTGAAATCTCTGATTCAAGGGCATGAGGGTAGACAGGTAGCCCCTACAATGACAATCGCATTGATGTTCATCTTGCTACTACTAAGTGGGAATGACCTTCGAGCTAAGCCCAAGCTCCACATCTTCTACTTCTCCCTAAGCATAAGTATTCAGCCATGCCCAATGCCTTCTGTCACTAAACAGCAAGTCTTGGGTGTAGCCTCCAAAGTCTTCCAGCTAAGTAGAAGAAGGTTTTAAGTTGGACTGAATACTTGTACTCTGAGGATAGAAGGAAGTATTTCACTTTGGCTTGGCTTGAACTCAGCCCACGAGTACAAGGACAGAACGAATACCCAAGTAACCTCCATGCGTCAGATGGTCACTTAAACAAGGTATTTCATTGAGCAGTACTACAAAACACTGATTTGCACTCGACTACAAATTAAGTTTCTCGTAGTGCTAAATTACAGAAGCGTGTCTGTTCCATTTGACCCCTACTACACCAATCTTAATGCTTGGATTGTAATTTTAATGTCAGGCCTTCTATTTTTGTTTAGTTATTTGTCATCAGGTAGCTGTCTAGATGGTTTACATGATTTTCATCATCTATTTAGGATAGGAAAATAGTTTCCTCCCTAATACTGGCAGCTTAGACTTGGCCAATCGGATTGCTAATTCACCAGTTGCTTAAAGGGTGCTAGATGCAGATTGAGCCGGATTTCGACTCGAAAAATCCTTTGAGTGGTAGAATCAACAAGATAATTGATTTTACAACGCAAGCTGATGAAGTATGCTCAAGCTTTCACCTAAATCGTAGAGCTTCTTTGAAAGCCTTCAAGTTTTGTCAGAGTCATATACTTGCAACGATGCACGTTCGCGTCGAAATCTGCGCGGTGCCATAGAAAAGTCTAGGCTGGATCTTGCAGAAGGATTTCTTCGAGAGATGTTGGCTCTAAAAGCAGTAAATGTTCAATTTCTTTAATGTGGAGGGTCTTGATTCTTTGTCTGCTGAACTCGACACAATGTCAAACAGCTGTCTAAGGATCAATGAGCAACTAATGGTAATATCGATAATAAGACTTACATTTAGTCTTCCAAATCTAGAATGGAGGAACTGATCAATCAAACTAATATGAATCAGGCGAAAAAGTGCACTTATTTCCTCAACTATTGTCTTCTAGAAACTCTGTAACTCTAACTCATCTTGCGGCAAATGCTATTTTGGATGCATTTTATATTTGTGAAGAAGATTGGGCTCTTCTCGAGGAAAAGATTAGTAGTCAAAATTCTGAAAATGTATTACTCAAACTCCAGAGAGCAAAGCTTATACGTCAGCTCATTATCAACACAGTGGGCGTTCCAAATCTGCCTCTATTGTATGTCGATCCCCTACTTATTTCTTTAGAAAGGATTTGCTGGAATTGTCCACTACATACGTAGACAAGGCCTTTGAGCGTTTATACCAGTGGATTAAGAGTATTTTCACTCCCTTTTTCACATTTATAATTGTAGGGGAGGTGAGTGCTCAGAACTTCGAAGCCGTAGAGATCTCGGTTCTTTTCCGAAACTGCCTAAGTGAATTGCAAGAGCGGCCAATTTTTTTCAAGTAATGGTCTACTCTCTTACGGTTAACTTCATCAGGTACATTCTTGACGAGTACGCGAATGCTCGACGTCAGTTGATTGTGGGAGCCTTTCTTCGGGCTTTGATGGTAGGATGGAACAGTGGAGGAAATGTTGAGTCCATTATCTCAACCAAACCCATCGAACTGCAATCGCATGATCCAGTACGATACGCTGGGGATATGCTCGCTTGGTCACATCAGGCTGTGGCCTCCGAAAAGGAGTATCTTCTTTCACTCACTTCTGAAAAAGGTATGTTGGCCCTGCAACTACACCTTTGCCTCTCATGATCTGGTTCATTACGTGTTATTTTTCAAAATTGATTGCACTATATGAGTGGGAGTGATCTGTATGGGTTTGATCGTATTGAAACAAAACTATCCAAATGGGAGGCTGGGAAGCTTGGATTTTTAACTACAAACAAAAAACCATTGTCTTATTCTATCCTCGTCATTTTCTCTGAACTAAGTAGTAAACGCTCGCCATAGTCACTCTCCTGCCTCAGTCATCAATCTGAGACTTAGTACAGTAATTCTCCACCAGAGCAAGAATATGTCAGGCTCTAAACGTTGTTATGCATCGCTCCATCCTCTGTGAATCATATTTCATCGTTTTATACGCCATTACCTAAGTTTAGCGTTCGTTACGGATGAGACTGATCCAAATTCGAAGGCAATAAGGCTAACCAGCTAAAGTCGCCCATTGAGTCCGTGATGTGCTGTAAGTAGAATGCTGGCTGAGGTGAGTTAGTTGTTTTTTTATTTACTTGAGGTGGGTTTTTGAAAGCATCACAGAACTCGAAGTTGTTAGCTTTCTCGACCTTTCTCTTTTGGATCTTCACAAATACACTCATTTATGACAAATCCCTTTAGGAGTTTCGGTTGTAGCGTTCGATTGGCGAAACAGAGCTCCCGTTCTTTTGAAGTGCTTGCCGATGTTGTTATATTGACGCAAGTATAGCAATAGCATCTCCACTCTGCAAGTATAATAATCAAATCATACTCGTTTGATCAAGTACTTAATCCGCATGGACCTCGCTCTGCTGCGTTGCAACCGTATTATCACTTACAGCTTTTAAAATGAAGTTAACACTTATTCTTGCATTAACCTTCTTTTCCTGAAATTCCTCGTTTTTTTTCAGCTGAACAAGAGTTGATCTGTGACTGTTTAAATAACATAACTGGAGGGTTGGTCCACCCTATACAGTTGCGTTTGGAACAGATTTTGGTAACCGAGCACAATGCTGTTCTCCTTTACCAAATTAACAACCTTTTACAGTTTTACAAAAACGTTATTTGGTGCGTTTCTATTCTCCATCGCTTACCGTTCCACAAATAACCTCAGTAAATATCCAATTTCGCCCTTTAGGAATTTGCTAAATGACAAGGCAGCTCTATATAGTGTGCTTTCGGAACTGCAAGCTCTCAGTTGGAATCTTTTCGTCAGCGCGCTGCAGCACCAAGTCTCCGATCTGCTCGCCGGTGTAAGCCCATCTCCCAATTTAGTTGTCTGGCATGATTATACTTCAAGTGTGTATGATCGAGCTATCCCAAAGGTAGCCGAAATCACCCAGCTGTCCAATTTGTCTTCCACATTAAAGATATGTGTGTACGTGCCTCCACTGTATCAGTCGATGGGCCACTGGTATTCCTGAAGGAATCGTTGGCTCACTCTCTACTCTCTTTGTTGTTTTTGAGTTGCTCCTTACTTTGTTAGGGAATGTATATCCGGAAGCCGTGGTTTTGACGTTAAATAATTGGAGATCAGGTTGTGGGTATGGTGCATAGATAATTGACCCAATAAAAAAAACAAGGGTAGCCGGTTCGTAGGTTAGTCGGACGAGCTCGCGGATCATCTCCACTCGTTAACATTATTCTCTGTATGTAGAGTGAACCACCGAGTTACGACTTGACGCCATCAGTGTCAACCACGGATGCCACACGTCTACTTGAAGCAATTCTCACCACCCAGGACATGTCCTGCGCTCCGCCTGATGTCCGTCAAACTAAATGTGAAGAGGCAAGTCAGGCAATTTTGGTTCATTGGATGTAATAAGCAAGGCAATCCTTCTCACTTTTGGAACGTCCTCCAGATAGTGGCCGTGGTGGTAAAGCTGCTGTTGGAGTACTACGATTCGATGGCTAAGACTTTCATCATATCGCAGAAGGCGGGAAAGGTGGGAGCGGAAACGGCAGAGGGTAGGGAGTTGCCCCCGGTAGCAATGGTGTACCTTCTTAACAGTCTGTATTCACTACAAGGGACGTTAGCCCGCCTCGCTTTCACAGGGCCTCAAATCGCTGTAGTTACTGAGCGTCTCGAGGCAGTACTAGCCGACCTGACATACTCTCAAGCAACCCACATCCTCTCCCGCGCTGGTCTCTATCGCCTCTATGAGGCCATAAATGCATCTCGGGACGATGAAGGGTTGCCACTTGCTCAAAGCGGAGCACCCGGTTGCTCTCAGGACGAGATCATCGACGCTTTAGTAAGTAATGTAAATGCGCATTTAGGAAACCACTTCGCTACCTAGTTCTCACTGCAGACATTAATTTATTTAAAATGAAGACAAAGTGTACTCACTAGGGGCAGTTTTAATGCTAGAGAAATTCACAAATTTGGAAAGGTGCTCCTTGGTTAAGTGACTGGTTCTGAATTCATACTCAGCCTTCCTGCTCCATCTGCCAGACTAGTCACAGACTTTTCTCTTCTTCTTCCTCTCAGCGGGAGTTCAACGCGGAGTATCTCTCAAATCCAGACTCTTGGGGGCTGCCCGAGGCGGCTCAACTCGCGTTTGCACGACCGCGCAACGCCCTGCGACGACGCACCGCCGACCTTGTGCAATCGCTCTACGCCCGTCTCTACAAGGCCATAACTGACCCCAGATCAGGCTATTCCAACCCTTGGCCTGAGGATCTTAAAACGCCTGAACAGGTCGCCGGACTCTTACTTCCCTCCTCCTCCATCTCTATTTCTTGACACCTACCGCTGAGGCTGTGACTATTGTCAAATAAGTAGTACAAAATTCATTTCGCACCCATCCTAGAGTTGGCGAGACTTCTCATCAACTTAACAGGAAACTCTTGGTTTTGGACTGAACGTCTGTGTACAAGTACAGGGAAGAGGAGATCGGTAGTGCTTACACAGAGCACGGGGTGTTAAGACGATTCTGGAAGATCATCACACTTCCAAGACTCCTCGACAACTTCGCGAACCTTCATTTCATAGACCCGGGTGTTTTCTTCAAACAGTTCCGCGGCTATAGTATTGGCTGGCGAATTTGGATTGGGGTCACCAAGGAGGGATTGTATGGATGTCAGTATGGAGCCGATGTCGTACGAAGGAGACCACATATTTTGTAGGATGTCAAGGCAGATTGCACCGTCAGCGTAAACATTAGGGTGGAACATTTTTGAGACAAATTTTACGGTAGGAGGTAAATTTGGGTAGTTCTCGGTGAAATCCATTACGAGTTTGAAGATGCCATCAGCAAAGGGTGTGCCATCAGCCCCCAAAATGACTGCGTGCCAACGGAGAATATTGTCATCCTGAGGTACCGCGTAAACACCTGGTGGTGGATCCTGTTTAATTTTCCGAAAATCATTCATAAGGCGCCTTCTTGCCCTCGTAGACATTACCACAATTAAGTAAAGGAAAACGATCTGTGTATGAACCGCTCCGATAATTAAACACGAGTGATGGATTAAAACCATGGACACATTGTTCATGGGTACAACACAATCTTATGGCCTTAGCGCATTCGCTTACAACTTTTAAGAAAAGTTTTTACAATCAAGTACCACGAATCGCTATATTTTAAAGGATTTGAAAATACATAAATGCATAATAGAGATTGCCACAAAGGCATATGCTTTAGGTTCAGACAAATACCTAACTCAGTGTGCTGCGATGGTTGTATAAAATAAAAATTTTAACAGCTTACGATCTGTCTTGATCTCTTTATTTCTTGGACAGGTAATGCTGGCTAAGCCCTGTGTAGTTCCATGAGTTTAACTGCTTAGTCTGGTAATCCGAGAATTTAAATCCTTATCTTCCAAAACCTTAATTTGCCATTATTAAAGATTAGGGCGATGGACTTTATAAATTGATTTTCGAAGCAGATCTTGCAAATAAGTTTAATAAAAATTCGTATTATTTTTTAAATTTCTAATTTTCGTAAGAGACATAATCGTTCCTTTAAGCTTATAGTGTGATGCGCATCAGATATCCAAATTGTGCTTTGTGGGAGGGAGGAGGGAATTCAATTCGAGCGCGAACCTCGAGGACCTTGTGGAGGTCGCGCCTTCTTTCTCCTATACAGCCTCTCCCTTTTCCTACACCTCTGACTCATTGTAACCTAGAGATGCCAAATAAAACTTCTCCAGGAAATATTTCTGAAAGTCTTAAGGAAAGGGGATCCTAAACCGGCCACATGGAATTCCAGCAGACTGTTTGCATTTTTGTTGATCGATGAGGCTCCGCCTTACACTTGATCGGTAGATACAAATCGTCTACTTTCGGTCAAATGACTCATAGCTTCCCAAGCTTGCCCTACAGACAAATAATGCGAAGTAATTGAGTAGGAAGCACGTTTGGGCAACCAGAAGGCGAATGGGCAATTTTGTATGCTTCGGATATTGGCAATAGGTCCGCTCAAGTCATTATAGTCTCAGTTGGGTGTCGAATAGGCAATGTACTATGTAGTCGTTGAGGTTCAAAGCACACTTCAGTGATACATCTAATTACGGGCCAAAAATTCTTAATGTATTCAGGTAAACTGGGAGGCAAGCCCTACCAACACATGTTTAGTCGGTAATTCAAAGACTTCATTTGAATAATTTTGTTTCTCCAACTCGAGAGCTCAGCTTTATGGTTTGAAAACAATTTACTATCAGTAAGGAATTATTTGCTCTCACAAAAATAACGTTGTATTTGATTTTTCACCTGAGGTGCTTCGCTAACTTCATCGTCTGTTTCTCGTCTTTCTCTCATCTCCCCGTCATAAGTGTTGTCTTGATGTTTGAAGTTGTATAGTAGGTTTAAATGTATATAGATGAGTTTCTTAATGAGACATGTTAAAAAGGCGTTCAAAATGGAGTAGTGGGTCGCAGTGAATATCATATCTATTTACTTCTGCTTGGCTAACAACAGCCTACCCCTCATTAGTACACTGTGTGTTTAGTTTGAACAGTGAACTGAACGACGAACAGCAAATAGACAGCCGGGATGGCATCCCTCTATCAGATCTTGGCTCCAGCTGTCGTTGCTTATCTAATGTGTAGGGGCCAAATTTGGCCAAGACAACTGGATTATTTGATACTTGGCGGCTTAAGCTCCAACCCATGTATTTGAACTGTAAAATGTGTTTCTCTTCTACTCTCACAGGCAGTGCTACAAGCAACAGCTTACGCACGACATACTCCTTTCGGAATATCATCCCGCAAGATTCACGCCCTTGAATCCGGGTACGTCTCGCCTCATGCAGACAAATCGCCCATATTAGTCGATTTTCTTGTGGACTTTTGTAAAACTTTACTCATGGCAAATGACAATTTTTATTCAAAAATTGCATTGAAGAAGCCACAGTTGTGAAAACATGTTCCAGCTTAAGTGAAAAGATGCAGAGAAGAGGTCTGCCATTTTTCGCCTTCAAAATGAATGCTCTTATAGGCATTCCGCCACGATGTGCTCATCACAGTGCTCTCAGTTTGCAACGGAGGCGGGGAAGTTATAATTTCAGGGCAGAAAATATAAGTCAACACGATCAAAATATTACATACTTCCATTTGCTATTTCGATCCCCAAACTCAGCACAATCCTTGACTAATAGATCTTGTCGGCTGCTGCCTTATGGAATACCGCCCACTAACTAACTGCCCTAGTCATTTACATCTTATGCAACTGAGATTTCCCTTGCCATTTCTATTGGATTCAAACCAAGAACCATAGTTGGTGATGAACGCATGCTTCATTCACCGCTCTTCTGTCAAGAAAAATCGCCGACTTTCTCATCTTTGCCGTATCACTCTTTTTCATTTATGATGAGATTAACACTGAGTGATAAAACTAAATGCGTTAGCACTTTTGAAATGATTCTACAATCCTCTACCGACAATGTCGCTTATCGAGTCCTTCCCGAAGAATGCGCAATCTTAACGTACAGAAGGGTGGAGGTTACTGATATGAGAAACAAAACCAAAATGATGGAATACGATGTCTGCCTACAAAGCTTTAAGCTGATTTCATTAGGATCTCAATCAAGATAGCAGGAGTCTGGAATCGCGCCCTTTGAAGAACTTTGCTAACTTTAATAATCCTTCATTGAAATGCCATTAGAATGGTAGCCCAATGGGGCAATGTTCTTGAAGGCGCTAAGCAATGTGCAAATTTGGCTTCGGCTAATCCATGCACGTACTTATGAGGAGGCAAGTGAACGCTGTAGAACGCACTTTGCCATCCGTGGCTGTACGAGTTATATGACCGAGGGAGATAATTCTGCGGAGCACAACGCATCAGTGGAACTGCAATCGCTCCACTGTGCATTTATGCTGAAGGTACTTGGTTAGAGACAAGAAGGAGTAAAGCAATAATATGTCCATTTGGATTGATAATACAGGATAACTGTTCAAACACTAAAAGAAGTGTGTTTAAATGAAGAAAGATCTCCGAGAGCATTAGTGAAACGGAGAATGCTATCGTGGTGATACTACTCGCAGTTGTGAGTTTCCACTCTCAGCCGACACGCAAGTAGTATGTGGGTTAGTGACCTCCTTGCACTCCCATCCAGCCTGCCATAGGTCAGTTCGGTCCAGATGACCTTCATCAAGGTGTCAAGCAGCACTATGCAGCGAATGATGAAAGAATTGGTCCATTCATTTAAATTGTTTAAAATGCGAACCTACGGTTCATTGCTTGTGTCTACAGAGGATTTTAAGCAAAACATAGTAGAGTGGCAACAGGACGAAGGCGTGCAAGATCCTTATACGTCGTGGCGCAAAAAATGGCCATTTCCATGTATGCCATTGAGGAGTATGGTCGTCATAGGAAATATGATTTCATTTCCAAAACTTGGCTTAAGATAAAGCTTTGAAAACTTGTACTGCTTTAAAGCAGAAGTGCAGCCAGAACTTCAGCAACGACCTATTTCACTTGAATTCCTGCGGTCGATCCATGTCTTCCAGGTTGTTAGATCGAGTCGAAAATGTCCGTTAAATGCTGAGTGAGATCAATAAGAAACGGAAGTGAAAGCAAAACTCCCATTAGTGACAGGCCAAGGGTCTGGAATTAATCTCTTAATGGGAAAAATTGTTTAAATCTCAGCGTCTAAGAGAAGTTGAGCTTGTTTTTAACTGCATCATTCCTCTCCACCCCTTTCCCACACCTGAAGTGCAATGCAGTTGCGGTTGGATGGGAGGTGGGTGATTGAGGTCGCATCCAGCCTTATGCAACCAAATCTGTGGAGGCGTGCGAAGAAGGGAGGGGAGGTCTAGGTGAGGGGAGCGATAACGGTGCGAACGTTGCATGGGAAAGAGGTAGGAAGGCAGGATATCTTCAAACAATCGGAAGTTTTAATGCACCCCGGCCTGGGAACGGTAATCTGACCGAATGCCGTGGAGTGAGTTTAATCAGTCTCACCTATACCGGAGAAGTGGTGGGTTAGGAGAGGGAGAGGGGTAAGGGCAAGAGTGGTGAATGGGTGAGGAGGAAGCACATGAACTCACCTGCCGACCAATTGCCAGGTCTGTGAAAAAATAGGGCAAAATAAGTCTACTGTTTCATTTTCCTCCAACAAAACCAATAAAATTTATAAATGGCAAAAGAAGTATCACCCAGTCTCCATAAAATTAAATGGATGAGAGAATGTACATCACAGATGGAAAAATTTGCCTTCCATTGTCTCGCAAATGTTATCTGTAGCACTGGAGACAGTACGTCGAAAAGCAATTGAAAAATTGTTTTAAAGTATTTACCACTATAAGAATGGCTTAATTTTTTCTTACATTTCCCTTAGGCATTACTAAATTTGATAGTATAATTTCGATCCCTAAAATGAATTACAAAAGAGAAGGTCAACCTAGTAGGCTATAACTAAATAACTGCATAATAGATCATGGTAAAGCAAGGAGTTGCAACAAAAAAATACTTTGGACTGAGGGCTGAGCTAATCACCACCATC